TTGAAGTTCATCCCAAACATATGATAGCAAAAACTGTAACATCTTGAATTTCTAAGTCTAGAGTTTATCACTAAATAGGGGTAAATTAGTAATTTAGGTGTGATTAGGGTTTTAAATGATGAAAAGTTATTTTAACCCTTTGGGATGTTAAATGAGCATATTCAAGTTGAAGGGTTGCGTTGTGAAGTAAAGCGTATGAGTTCACTAAGGAATTCCTTCATTGTGCCACGTGACGCGGCTCAAGCTAAGTGCGCCATGGCATAAAGCACTAAAAATGCCTTAAATACTCATGGATTAAGTCATGAGACCAGAGGGAAAAAGAGGAAAAGAAGCACAAAAGAGTAGAGAAGAGAGGGAGCTCTACTAGCGCAAGAAGTTTTAGGAGTTCAGGAGATATTTAACCTATTACTTATCGAGTAAGTCTCGTACCACCTTAACCTCCAATTCTACACCAATTTCTCCTAGTTTAAGTTGTTGATAAATTGAATCTGGAAGTTTTAAGGGGTTGATTTCTTACCCTATAATAATAAAAAGACTCTTTGGAGTTAGATAAAGGCTTCACAACTGATTTGGAAGTTACCAATAAAGTTTTAAAGCTGTAAGCTCAAATTAGTTGATTTAGCAAAAGGAAATTGGTGAAAATTGGGAAAATAAGTACAATAAGATTAAGATAGGTGATACGTCAGTTTAAAAAGGATGAAATAGGCTTAGGATAGATAGTTAGGAGTACTTAAATGTTTAATTGTTATAATTAGTACTTTTAGTCAACATGATGATTAACTCTGAGTACTAATTTTGTGTAGATTGTTGTTGATAGTGTGTGAATTGAGTAAAGAAATGCTAGTAAGGAAGTATACCACGAGTAACCTTTCTTGAGAACAAAGGGTTGAGGTAACTATATAGTTTATTTTATTTATTAACTAGTATAATGCATAGAAGTAAATGTGCAAATGATGATTTTGATAGAGAAAAGGGAAAGATACGGTTGAGATTAGAGTATTCCTTTATTTAGCCTATTAAAAGGGTCTATAATTTTATGAATGCATATATTTGTATGATTTTGCATCCTAGCCCTATTGCAAGAATATATGTGTGTTTGAGGTAAATGTGATAATGTGGGCTAAGGATTGGTTACAAGTGCATGTTGATAAAATTGACATGTAATGAATTAGTAAGTTTGGCCACTAATGTGAATTTGTAAAGAAGTATGTGATTCTGCCCAAGTGTATATGTGATGGGTAGTCTTCTAGCTAAACTTGTGTATATGTGTGATATTGTGCATACGAATGGTTAATTAGGTGTTAAATGTCCCATTGTATGTGGTTAAGGCCCTAGAAGGGGCCAATAACATATAGTTCAATTTTGTGATGCTCGGGTGATAGAAATTGACTTAAGCTGGTCAATTTACACTTGGGTGTCTAATTTTCAAATAGGATATTAGATTTGAATGAAACCAGTGTCATTGGTTAGATTTTGAAATGAACTTTGTGTGGGCACTTGAATCACCCTAATCAAATATCGAATGTAAAAATAGTACACGTTTGAAATTCATATCAGAACTATTGTATTAACAAAAGATTCTGATATGTTCACACATATCACAGCGCATGGCACAGAACCAAAACCCATACCCCTATATGGCTATACCACATGTTGCGACGCATGTGGTACAAACCAAGGCATATGGGTCTGTTCTACTTAAAATGTGTCATTTTGCTTCCATGTTATTTCAAGCTTTCACATGTATGATTTATGTTGCTTCCACTATATAGTTATATGATTTGAGCATTTTAGAAATGATTTCCAACTATTTTAAAGTGGGATCCCAAACCTTTTAAAGTATTAAATTTGAATGCTTGAGTGTTAAATCGTAATGTTTGAAAGGGCATTACAAAAATTGTCTTGTGTATTGCAGCACATGTGTCCTTATTACAGTGCACGGCATAAAGTGAGTATTTAATTCTTTATGCCATATGCCATAGCATATGGGTCCAATTGGGCAAAAAAGATCTTTTTGCTCCTGTTTCCTATTATGTTGTGTTTATGCATTCCTAAATACTTCTGTTGTTCATAAATACTTATATTTTAAAGTTTTGCTATGTTTTGAAAGTTTTTTGGGATCCCATCATTTTAAAAAAATTATTTTTTATATTTTTAATATTTATAAATTTTTGATAATTTAGGGGTTTAAGGACTCATAATTATTTTGAATACTAAGCGTGGGATTTAAGGGTAATGTTAAGGAGGACATTATATTTTGGTATCCATTTCTTGAGTTTCAAGATTTGGTCATTTTGAATTGTTTGTTGTATTCATTTTTAGTCTTTAGAAACTTATATTCATTCATTACACAACTCTTTTCCTACTGCTTAGATTAATCTTTTCTTCAAATCATTTTTATCCTTAAAAGGGGGGAAATGGTGAGGTGTACTCTGACTGCTAGTAATCTGCTAGTTAATAATGATGAGCAAGTACCAGATACTCAGCTAGTTCAACAACAACCTAGAAATTAGTAGAATTTCCTTTTAGAAGAACTAAGGGATATATTGGTTGGTTTTTAAAAGACCGTCCATGAGCATGATGTGTTGTTAAGAAACAGAGGCCATAATGATATTAAGGTAGGCCTAAGCATGAATAGGCTCATAAGAGTAGACATGGACCACCTTAGTGTTTGGATAGCAGACTGTCACATCTTTAGTAGCCAATAGTAATAATGATTATGTTAAGAAATAGAGGCCGTGATGATAGGATCGTGGGATATCAAGGTAGGCCTAAGTGTGAAGAGGCTCATGAGAGTAGACATGTATCGTCTTAGTATTTAGATAGCATACCGTCACATCCTGTAGTAGCTGATGGTAACAATGATTCTGTGTTTATTAATTGAGTATAGAAGACTTTTGTTTGGTTCAATCTACTAACTTTATATGGAAGTATGAAAGAAGGTGAAGCATAGCGGTAGATTGAGCATCTTAAGACAATCTTTAAGGTAGTGATCTATATGTCTAAGAAGAAAGTGGTCCTAGCTACAATATAGTTAGTTGGAGTAGCAAAGAAGTAGTAGGAGACAACCAAACTATCAAATGGTATATGTAGACATGGGAAGTGTTCAAGTGGGTTTTATTCGACTATCACTTCCCAATCTTGCTCGAAATAAAAAAGAGGAGGAATTTCATGCTTTTAGGTAGGAAGATTTGGATGAGGAAGAATTTATCATAAAATTTAATGAGTTGTTATTCTATTCCACATATTTGAAGCATAGTAATGACACCAAGTATAAGGCTAAGAGGTTGTTGGAGAAGATATGCCTAAAATACTAGCTGTAGATTGCTTTGTTTGATGTAAGTACTAATAAGGAAGTGTATCAAAGCTTAGAGTCATTGCTAGAAGAGGTAGAAAAGCAAAAGCTAAGATAAGGAGAGACAGCCTCAGGAGATTCTCGTCTTAGTTAGGTCCTATAGGTGGAACTTCTAAGAAGTCTGGGTATAACCTGAGCAGTTAATTTAAAGAGGAAGTGGAATAAGAATTAGGGCTCTACAACTCTCGAGGAAAGAAAATACCAATTAAAAGCAAGGGAAAGGTAAAGGAGGTGCTTAAAAATTTTGTTGGAGACATATTATAACCAAACAAAGTTCAAAAATCAGACTATGTTCACACAAAAAAAAAAATAGAGCAAAGATTGTGTTAATTTTGAGAGAGATGAATGAGGGTAAAAATAGAATGAAATTGAGGGGGGGAGGAGAGAGATATGAATTGAGAGTGAGATGAATGGAAAATCTCACCAAGAGGGATGATGCATCACTTATGGCTTGTGGCTTATGGACTTCGAAGCTTGACTTTGATGGCAATTGACAACATCTTGATGTCGAATAAGGATGAAATTCAGAAAGTCCATGCATACTTGCAAATGTAATGAAGGAATATATTTTTGGAGCTAGAGGGAGAACTAAATGCCACAATATTGGATGATGAGGGAAGTTATAACGGGATGAAAGTTGTGGGAGTAAAAAATAATTTATGATTAATCATTAGATCATGGTTTCATGTAAACAGTTAAATATATGAAGGAAATCTATCAATATTCAGTTTTATAAATTTTAAATTAATTTAGAATCCAATAAATTTTAAATTGATTCATATTTCTTGTACTAATTTGGAAAAATAGTTAGATTGAAAAGATAATTAGTCCTGACTCAATGGAGAAATTTTTAGGAATAGATTAGGATAGTTGAGGGATTGAAGCCTTTTTATTAATTTTTAAGTTGAGGGAAGTTGTGATATGATAATAGATGGGATCATAGGACATAAGATTCATGAATAAATTAAAAAAAACAGATTAATATAATAAGTGATAATAGAAAGTTATCTTAATAGTTAGAGACATCATGTTTACTATTTCCTACAATTTATTTTAAGGTTACAAAATGAGTGCACATTATTTACATGTCTACGGTCTACCGTCCCTGAAAGAGGATCAAATCCAAATTGACGTAGCAATAACTCTTTCAAGAAACACTCATAATTGGATTGAAAAGTTATATACTTGAGGAGAGATAAAGGGAAAAAATTAACTATAATATTAATGGGATATAAGTTATATTAATCATATTCTCTAGTCTTATTACAAATAAATGAACGAATGTGTGATTGGAAATTAAAAGACCCAAATGATTAATTGATAAAAGACCTAATTAATGATATTTTTGGACAATCAAAATTGAATTGGATTTCGTTCATTAATATTTTACTTTCATTCCCCTAAACATACAAAATTGAGCAGACGTGTCCATTTGATCAGTTTGAACTTTGAAATGTTTGCACACTCCAAAATCAAAAGCTGATATGATTGGTACTAAAGAATATCCTATCTCTGATACTCTCCTCCAAGATGTCACTCCTCACCTTCCATGGAGTCACATCTTCTTTTTTAATTGAGATATCACCAATCACCACCTTCATTCCTTCCTTGATTGTTTCAATCCCACAAATCTGAGAGAACCAAAATGAAGTCCATGGGATCTTTCTTTTTCTTCTTCAATGTCAGCCTTGTTCTGCTTCTGCAGTATCTCTCAGTTCTCTGTGTTTCACAGGACTTCGATTTCTTCAACTTCGTCCAGGAGGATTGTCCCAAAACTAATAAGAACTGTAACAAAAACCATGAAGAACTATATATAAATATATATGAAACTGAAGTTGTCAGTGTTTGCATTTGATTTTGAAGTGGCCAGGATCATATTGCGACACTCAGAAGAGTTGTTGCTATCCAGCAACTGGGAAACGTGAAGCAGATTTTGGCATTCGTGGACTGTGCCTTAACTGTAATGATGGCTCTTATCCATCTAACTGTGATTCTTCCAACCCGTTTAAGCAATCTGATGTACGTTACTTTTTCATTTGTTGAAATTTAAGCTTCTTCTAAATATATCCATAGTGTATAGACTAGCTTCATTTATAGAGAAGCTTGTTCAATTAGAATCTATTGAAACGGCAAATAAGTGCCTTTAGACTAGCTTCATTTATAGAGAAGCCTGTTCAATTAGAATCTATTGAAACGGCAAATAAGTGCCTTTTGATAGTAACATGCATGATTTTAAACATGATAACAGATATTAGCCTTGACAAGCAGTTTACAGAAGGACTGGCCCACACTGGCATGCCGAAGCGGGAATGGGATTGAATTATGGAGCCATGAATGGGAGAAACATGGCACTTGTTCAGAATCAGTTCTTCAGCAGCATAACTACTTTAAAACTGCCCTCAGCCTCAAACAGAGATCCAATCTCCTTCAAGCTCTCAATAGTGCCAGCACATCTCCTGAACTTCTTTAATGTTAGAAGTATAACCTTAAATCTTTTCTATCCATAAAGTGAATGGAGAGGTTGGGTGTAGAGAGAGAGAGAGAGAGATTGACACAAACTATAGTTGTATATGAGTCCCACATCTCATGACTAGGCATGGGCCGGGCCCACTATTCTGCCTTGTAAATATATATCTAGATTCAAATTGTGAATTTAATATGTGTGTATATATATATATATATATGGTCTGATCAAAACCAACTAAAGTTGGCATAGGTGTGAGCAGTAGAGGCTGTCATTATTTAAACAAGCGCGCCCCCAAACCTTGTCTTTGTAGCCATTTGATTGAAAGAAGTCTACCCATTGTTCTTGACACTTGGGGGAGATAATTTCTGCTTTGAGCCAAACGTCCTTCTTATACTTATCATCGCCAACCAAACAGTGGAAATTTGAAATGGTAAGGCTTTAGCCTTTAGGTCTGGTAATTAGGCATGAGTCCCACTATTCCACCTCTGATCTCCCCCCCCCCCCAAAATTAATGATCCTCTAAGTTCATTTTATAAATTTTGATGATATGGGCTAAATGATAAACAGTTGCCCAAGACTTGAGAGTTTTATCAGCGTGAAGCTTGCATGGATTGATGTGCGAATGTGTATAGGAATAGAAGCAAATGGAAGATCCTACAGCCTGAGGAGCATGAAAGGGACTATAAAGGAAGGAATTGGGTATGCTCTATTCATAGAGTGTAATAAGGATTCTTCTGGGAACAGTCAACTTTACCAAGTGTATCTGTGTGTTGACACTTCTGCTTCAAACTTCACTGAGTCTCCAGTGCTCCCTAAATGCAAGTGTGGCTCACAGATTCAGTTCCCATCTTTCTGAAATAATGATCTATGGACCTTAGAGTCTTGCTTTGATGTTGATTTGCTTATCACGCATTGATTCCTTTTCCGTTAAACAACAGCCACAAACACTTCAGTATGTTTACTTTAGCGCTGAAAACAAGTATATTAAAAAAGTGGAGTTTGAATATGTAACTTGCGAAAGGGGACAAACCAACTTTAAAGTGGACATATGTTTGTCGTCCGCTGAAACAGTTTTGATCCTTATATTAGCATTCATCTAGTTGTTTGGGGAAAAAAGTCTAAAATGATAAAAACCTCACTCAATTTTAAAGCAATTATATATGATCTCCTCATATTTCAACATTTAAAATTTACCTTTTCTAACCTTTAATTTTGTTTTCAAAACCTTTTGCCATTAATTAACTATTATTTTATTAAAATAGTTATTGTCATGTTATATTAATATAATACACATGACATGAAAAAATATTTTTATTATATTTAACACAATTTAGGGGATAAAATTGTAAGTTTTACTTTTAGCATACATGATGATGCTCTCATTTTTTTTTAGTTGAGAGACATTATTCTCAATATTCACAAGTAACACAATTTAAGATAAAAATTATAATTTTATTATTCTTTATCAATTAAAATAGCCTTTTATATTAAATAAATAAAAAAATATATAAACGCTGTAATTGATAAGAGTAATATAAATTTTGTTATCTTCTTTGTTTATTTTCTTCAGACTCTGATGTGTTAATTTGTAGCCATTATTTTTTTCCTTTGAATGAAGTTTCCAATGCTCATTCAAGTAAAACAAAAAAAAAAAAAATATGTTACTTACAAATAGAATGTACGCTGCTTTAAAATAAGATTCTTTTAATTTTCTTGGCTATTGGTGATTTCTATTGATTTTGTTAACAACAACTTGTAAAATATCATAGTTTTCTTGTATTAAAGAATAAATTTTCATTTATATTATTTGGGCCATGCACCCAAATGAGATTTGGATATTGTTGATTTTCTTATGTATGTAATTATATTTCCTAATCCTGTTTTCATAAATGAAGTAGAATACAACATAATATCAAAATTATGATCACAGCATCATAAAAATATCGAGTTACATGCACAAAGATAAAGTATAAGGATTTTAGTTTAAATAAAATATTAACCACGCGCGGATGTAAAAATTTGATGTTTTGGTATTTGAGTTAATTACAAAAGCAAAATTTGAAGTTGGTAGTGATTATATTAAAAAATGAAGGGAAAATTTTTGTTAAAAACTGTAATTATATCTTCCTTGACATTAATAGCATAATACTCTAACATGCTATTATGATAACCTGAATTCATTAAAATCCCATGTAAAAGTTATCACAACCCAAGAGTTAAAAGTTAATAGCTTAAGATATTAGAATCCCAAAAAAACCTTTTTTAAAAGTTGTTTGAGCTTCAACTATAGTTTAAAATAAGTTAAATAAAGTAACGAAAGCATGAAAACCAGTCAGCACTTGAAAACAATATGAAATAGTTTGGAAATTTTGAACAAGCTGGCTCATCCATTATGGCATAGGCCACACTCGCTACGGATGGCACAAAGGAACTCATCCCTTAAAAAGCATTGCACCACAAGGCATGCCTGCTATCATGATAACACTTTGAACTTTTGAAGCACGTCGTTATGCCATCTGACATTCGATTTGAGCGATTCAAAAGTGCACACAAAGCTCTTCAAGCCCTCTAACTAAACCAGTCTCATATCTAAATAATCATCCACAAAAAAGATGGACACTCAAATTCAAAATGATTTGTTTCCACTTTAAAACACACTGAAGGGTGTCTAAAACACACAACCTAGTGCCATTAGCTTCGAAACCACTTTGATCAACTCAAATGGACCATACACAACATATTAGGCTAATTATATCACACAAACAAGTATCCATACCTAAAATGACCACTAAACCCCCAGTTCTCAACAATGTAAAGGGGTGGATAAAATTCAATATAAGCATCATTTTGGTCATTCGAACATTAAGTTAACACAATTATATCACTTGTACTAGTATCTTAGCTTCTCACACTCACTTAACCATAAGCATTACAATTTTAGGTCGAGATATGCACACATTAGACAAAGTTTCATACAAGTGATAGCAAAATAATGAAATGATTCTAAATTGACATAATATTGTAATATTCATTACAAAACTAAAATGGCAAGGGAGGAGAGCTACACAACCAAACTCTTCACTCTTCAGTCGCCCCTTCCTTTCCTTGCTCCTATTGAAGCCCTCACCTATAAAATATAATCACGGGATGAGATAAACATCTTAGTAACAAAATAATTCACTATTATCAATTAACATGCACAACTATAATAGAGTAAAGCTAATATATACAAAAAAAAAACTTTTAGCATAATTCATCATAATCTTTTATGTAATCAATATTCATTTCTACTTTAGCATGATCATTATACCATTCGAGCCTTCATATCACCCCAACTAAAATCACAGGCTCTTAAACTAAGTGCACATTTGCAATGGCCCCAGCTCACCTTTAGTGGTAGGATCACCTGACCAAAAGTGTCCTATCCCACTTTCAAACTATGATCTCCCCCTATCGCACATGAATCTCGATGTCATTACTCTAACATTGTATCACTAATGCTAAGAATCATCAATCTCTAACACCGTATCCCATTAGGATACTAAGGAGATAATCTCTAACACCATGCCTCATTAGGCACTAAGGAGATACATGACATATAGACTTCTAGTACTCCTCCCTATGGGTGAACTCCCACCCCTTATCATGATCATACTCACACTTCCCATACATATCACATATTTACAATAAGATCATAATTAACTCACATAGTAAACTTTCACAATTTTTCATTGTTTGAAGATCAATTCAAATGCACAAAATTCTTTTTTCACAATATGCAATTCTTTCAAAACACAGAGTAATATATGTATCTACTCATAAATAGCTAGACACTCAATCAAATATAGTAAACTATTCTGTTATCTCAACTATTTTGTCATAAAAGAATTACCGTGGTTTGACATTTGCTCCACACACTTCCACACGCACGATAAAACTTGATCAATACTTAATCTACACAATTAAGTGATAATTATCAATTTTCACTCTAATTACACCCTTAATTCACAAACTTTTGGGTGCCCACTATACCTAAAAATCACAATCAACTTTAACCCTTTCAACACACTCTATTAGTTTTATCTAGCATCCAAACACATAACATAACCAACCTTCCATCCACATTGTCCCAAATCTACAAATTTTCACATAGGGTTTGTCCAAACCCAAACCAAAAATTTCAAATCACTATAAAATGCATAAACCTAAGGTTAAAGACTTGATTTAACTCCCCAAGACCTTAACTAAATTAATGGGTTCAGTCTAAATTTAAAGAAACTGAAATCATAGCCCACGTTGCCATTAAAAGTAAAAAATTCACATAAAATAGAGAGGAAGATGTGAGTGAAGCTTATCTAATGTATATCAAGCTTGTAATATGTAACACTTGCCCTAAGTGTTATCCAAAAATCACACAATTCAAATAAACTAAGTGTGGTTAAGGACTTAATCCTCTAACCAACTTAAAAAATAAATCATTTAAAAACTTTAAAAGAAATTTATAGGTTCTACCTATAGCACACGAAAGCAAGCTAGATGAAAGTGGAATAAAAATATGCTGTCATGACAGCATTAAATTGCTGTCATGATAGGCCTCTCGGGCTAACTTTCGAGAGGCATTGTTCCGCCATTCAACCTCCGATCGAAGTAATTTTTAAGCTCACACGTTACATCCAAAAGGTACTATAAGTGTACCAAATTTCAAAAATATCCAACGGTTGTATTAAAAATTTAACATGTTAAAAGTTTAGTCATTTTTGCTATCATGACAGCACCTCCAGACTAACTTCTGGGTTGCACCATTTTGTCATCCAATCTCCGATCGAACGATTCCAAAGTCCATATGTCACTTTTAAATAGTACTATTAGCATACCAAATTTTGGAAAGATCCAAAAAATGGATTGAATTTCGTGCATGTTGCAACATCATCACTGTTGCTATCATGACAGCACTTTTGCTATCATGATAGCTCCTCCAGACCAAATTTCGGAGTACATCATTTCTCCATTTGATGTCCGATCGATGTGATTCCAAAGCCCACACGAAGCTTATAAAAGGTTTTACTTGTGACCCAAATTTTAGAGAAATCCAACAGTCGGATTAAGATTTGGATACATGGATGTAAAAGTGCAGTTTTTTTAGTAAAAACCATTTTCAAAATTGTCCAAATCTCATCCTAATGGTCACAAATATGTGGGAACACTTTCAACACATCATATAGGACTAAAAGCACCTGATAGAACATTTAAATGATAGAAAAACCTTTTATACCAAAATTTGACTACCCGGGTGCCATTTCCCAAAATGGACCCTAAACCCCCAAAATGCACAAATCACACAAGAGTGGTCAAAACTATTCCAAATATCATATACGCATATGAATACACACATTAAACATTTTCACTTGGCTCAGAGATCTCTGTGGGGCCTATGCACCCACTCTCTATCCAAGGTGTATGTTTGCCCATAGCACACCATTTGCAATGCAACCATTTTGCATTTGCTTGTGGAATCACATATATACCAAAATAAATATTTGCTTGTGGTGCAAAATTTGGTCTACTAAATAAATCTATCAAAACCACACACCATAGCCAAGTTTCCCAGCCACAAGTCTATAAGCAAATAGAAATTCATACACAAGCCATACAATCCACACATACTCACACACATATACATAATCACATCCTACTGGCACCCTAGTTCTAAATACATTACAATAGATTTGCTCAAAAGAAAGGGGTTGCAGTTCTTTACAATTCACAAACAACCCCCAGCTCTGCTCCTTTCCCCGTCATCCACTAGTTCCTTCGCCTGGAACTGAAAATATTAAAAAGAAAGGGGTGAGACAACCA